ATAAATAACGCACGGTGGCGACTCTTCTGTTCAGCCGGCGCCGATTTTCGCAGTAGCAACACTATGGTTTCAAACTAAAACACTTTTATGACAGAGTTGAACCATCTGACCCCATCAACCCTCTGAAACCAAAACTAACCATGACCCTTCCATCTGTGATTCTTGATTACATAAAATCCATGTCAGATGTAGGATCTTTAGCTACCATATCATGTTCTGAAAAATCTGATAAAGCTATTTCTTCAGCTCTGCAAATATCATCTGACTCACCTACTGTTTCCAAGAAACCTCCAACTTCTGCCTTCAAACCTTACTCAAACAAACCCTCTGATGTGGTTTCTCACCCTACTAAAGTCAAACCAAATCTGATAAAAGCCTTAAACAGATCCTTACCTCAAAAACATGAAATTCCCTTCTTTCCATACTATCCTCCTCCTCTAATCTCCATTCAAAAATCAATTTTTCCACCAACTCCCCAACCTAAACCTGTAACTCTGGAAACCTTGTTATGCCCAAAGCCCAGACTTAATGTTAATCATTTATTTCAAACATTTTTGCAAGAAATACAGATGTATTTAGGTACTGTACAGAAGAAATGCTCAGCAACAATGGATGCCAAAGAATCTGACATCATCTGAAATGGATTCATTAACAGATTCAACTCTATAGCTTCTAATCTGAAGAACGTCTGTTCTGATGATGCAAAGCTCAGATTTGCTGAGGCTGCAAGGACTCTATTCTGGACTGTCAACAAATCTGAACCTCTACTTCTTTTAGATGCTCCTCCACCATCAACAGACTCTACTGAAAATGCATCTGAAGAGAATCAATTGGCTATGACTCTAGTAGATCCTTCTTCTACTTCAAATGCTCCAGACTCTACAGAACCCATAGAAATTGACTCTGTTCAAGCTACAGAACCTAATCATACCTCTTCATCTGAGATAAAGAAAGAACATCCAGATTTTGAAGACAAGATTGCTGCTCTGGAAGCTGGACAGTCAGAGATAAAATCCTGGATGGCTAAGCAGGATAAGAAGTCTGAGGATATGACAGAATGGATGTCAAAGAAAGATGAAAAGAATGAAACTATGGCTAAGTGGATGTCCAAGCAAGAGCAATCATCCTCTGAGATTACAGATCTATTGAAGATGCTTTTGTCCAAACACTCTTAGATTTTTTTCATTCTATTGTTTCTGCATCTGTTCTTTGCATTTGTACTCTATTTAATATATCTTCTGATGTTTGCCTATGTACTCTTAATCTGATCAAATGAATGAATCAAAGTTTTCTCCATTGAATTGTCTAGATTACTGTTTCCTTTTACTTGTCCTTTTAAACGTTTTTTTTTACTTTTTGCTTATGACAAAAAAGGGGGAGAAAATATAGATCTGAACTGTTTAATATAACTTCATCAGAATGAAACTTCAGACATATTTATTCTATCTAACATTCTAATCTGACTGTTTCAGAACATTTGATAAGTATATTCTATAAAAGAAACTCTAAGTCTCTCAGATCACTTGACCATTATCAAACTCTGAATATTAATTTTTGCAAGACTTTCTGATCTTCAAATATTAATTTTTGCAAGACTTTCTGAATACTCAAGTAAAAAGGGAAGTTTCTATTCCTAAATTGTATTTAACTCAGGGGGAGATTCATCATCTCAGGGGGAGTTATAATTCTAATTTTTCCCAATTAAACAAAATTTCTAATGCTTTTTGTCATCATCAAAAAGGGGGAGATTGTTAGAACACAGATTGGTTCTTAATAATATCTCTTTGTTTTGATGATAACTGTTAGGAAATTTTGTATTTAAGAATTATATACTCTAAAATTTGCTTGAGAGTTTTACTGCAGATTATAATGAAATTAACACTCCAGAAGCAAATCTGAATTGTATACAAGAAGTTATCTTAACTCTGAAGCGCCATATGCACTCATTAGAAGATTCTGACTGCTGCTTACAGAAGTTCCTGAAGCGTAGCCTCCAGAAGAATCTGAAGCAAGTAGCTCCAGAAGACTCTGAAGCAGAAGCTCCAGAAGAATCTGAAGCAGAAGCTCCAGAAGAATCTGAAGCAAGCAAATGCATCTGAAGCAAAGAAGAATATTGTATGAAGAGTTTCTCAAAGCATAGTTTCTACAGAAGTTTCTGAAAGTACTAAAGCTGCCAAGTACTGAAGTTCTGTGTTAAATATGCTCTGATGATCAACACGCTGAAAGCACACATGCTGCAGAAGACTCTGATACAGCAAAGTTCTGAACATCATTAGAAGACTCTGACTCAATTAGATTCTGATGAACTTGCTGAAAACTGAAGAAGAATTATTCAAAGATTATATCCATTGGAGTAAGTCAAACGTCTCTTTCCTCATTTGTGCTAGACACAATAACACAGACAAAAAGGATTTTTCTGTGCCTTCTACTTCTAGAAAAGGTCACTTGATGTAAAGACAAAAAGGCTCAGACCTTTTTGAGACACTCTTTTCAACGCTCAGCTCTCCTTGGATCAGCTGCCTATAAAAGGAAGACTCCACCAAATTCTTCAGTTAGACATTTTGCTGAAAAGAAATTATAACATTAAAAGCTCTCATTCTTTCATATTCTTCTAAGAATTATTTGTACTTAAACTTAAGAGAAAAATCACTATTGTGATAAAAGCTTTTTAGAAGCATTCATACTCTTGTATTTAATTTACATTGATTGTAAAGGTTTTCTTTAAGAGGATTCAGTTAGAATCAGTAGCTCTTGAGAAAACTAAGAACAGTTGTTCTTAGGTGTTACTATTGTAATCTGTTTGATTAAATAGTGGATTAAGTCCTTGTTGAGAAAGGCAAATCACTCTAGGAAGGGTGGACTGGAGTAGTTGAGTTCAACGAACCAGGATAAAAATAATTGTGTTTCTATTTCTAAGTTTTAATCTTTCATACTTATTCAACCCCCTTCTAAGTATTATCTCACCTTCATCGGCGAGGCGGGGAGTTCGTCGACCGGTTTTTTGAGTTGCACGGGGGTGAACGACGACCGCTTGATTGTCCCCCGACTTTGTTCTTCTTGGTAACTGGAGATAGGCAGTCATCGCGGGGGAGGAGTACAATTGCGTTTAAGAGGTTGTGGCCTCTCCAACTACGGTCGGCCGTTGTGGCGACGGGCTGCGAAACCCGTATAGCTGACGTCTTTGCGGAGGAGAGCGTGGACGATGGTTTATTTCCAGCGCTTTGATCCTCTCGTTCTGTTGATAGACCAACACATTGGTCTGGTTGAGGGCCGTGACCGGGACCGCCTTGGTCGGTTCGGCGTTGGCTGGCACTGGAATCAACTGGATTTTCTCCGGCGTCTTCTCCGAAGTTTTTTTGAATTTTTTGGGTCTCCTTATATTGGATATCGTCGGCGGCGGCTTCGTCGGAGGAGGGGGAAGCGATGCGACCGTCTCTGGTCGGAGTGACGTTTTCTAAAGGCGACACACCGTTGTCGTTTCTGGCGTCACGGACGAGAGTGAAGGCAGTTTCGTGATTGGTGGGGTAGTGTTGGTCGACCATGATTATTAGTTTTTGAAAGTTTTGCTTTGGTCTTTAGGTTTCAGAGAAAGAAAAGACGGGGGAGCAAAGGGCTCCCACAGACGACGCTACTGATCTTACCGGGATCAAAAGAATCTTCAATGACCAACAACACGCCGTGATCTTCAAATTCAAGTGAGGAAAACGGAGGGGTCATACCTGCAAGACACTCCGATGCTAAAGTAAGTACATAGTTAAGAAAGACAAGTACATAAATAAGAAGTGAAATTGAATAGAATACATGACCCTCCTGCAGAGTAGAGTATTTATAAAGAGCCTCTAGCATTAGGCCAATGGTCTCCGTTATGGGCTGAATGTCTAGGCCCATAATGGGTGACTGTCAGGATTCCCACGTGAAAGAGGGAGATGGGCAATACATGCTCATCATCATGTGTTAACTGCCCCGTGTCCTTCGGATGGTGAGTGAACTTGCCCGTTGAAGGGCAAAACGACTCTGTGAAGTGCGTGGGTGCAGTTGATGACGTGTCATCGGGTGAAGAACACATGTTCTCCACTGACCCAAACAGATTGGACAAACATTTTAGGACCGTCCTCGACACTAAGACATATTTGGGTCTTACCCGACAATAAACCAACATTTAAACCGTCTTCAACACAACATTGAATTAGATTGTACCCGACAATAAATTAGTCATAGGACGAGTCCAAACTAGAATAAATATTTGTTATCACCAAAGAATTGCTTATTAACTACTCTTTAATTATTTCACTATTTTTTTTATTAGCCTTGCAAACGGTAGGATAAAAAGAGCAAATCAACTCTCGAATTTTGCACTTTAAATGTGTTTAACCTCGACCTAAGTTTTTCATTTTTATTTTAACACAAGTTAAATTTTGTCATTACAGTTTTTATGATGGTTAAATACTTTTACATAACTAGAGCCACTTAACACCTCACTCTCGTCTCTAGAGCCAATCCATTAAATATTAAAAATTACAATAAACGTTTTAAATTAAATTTTATTGAAAATATGACATTATTAACATATGATAAACGAATATAAATAATAGTACTCTTCCATAAAGTGTCATTAATATTTTTCCACAAATTTTCAAGCAAAATAGTATACAGAGAAATAAAAAAAAGAAAAGAAAAGGACGCAGTTTGTTCACGTGATACTTGCCTCGAAAACGTTTCATAATGTCAGTAAACAGTAACGCACCCACCTTTAATCAAAATTTCAATTTTCAAAAAGCAACATAAATTAAACACTCAACGACAAACCTTGCCGCTTCTCTTTACCAAACGCAAATAACACGTGTTCCTTAAACAACCAAATATGTCATATAAGACTTTACAAGTGCAATATAGGTCAGAGTAGGTACCACCCATTTATTCCTCGTGCCTCTATTTCATTTCAAAATAAAAACTACCTCTTTCTTCATTTCATTTCAAACCACAATTCATTCTCTTTTTCAATGTCGACTTCATCGGAGAAATCCACGTTTTCTCAAACATGCAACCTCCTCAGCCGATACATCAAAGACAAGGCTAATTCCGGTAACCTAACAAATGTTGTCGCATCATCAAAGAATCTCACAACTAAGGATTTCTTAACTCCAATGTAAGTTTTTGTGTTTCTTGTTCAATTCACTTACTACTTCCTCCTCTGTTTACTATCAGATTCATTCAATAATTAATGTATCTGATCTGTATCTTTTCTGAGGGAGTATCAGATGACTGAAATCATGAGATCATTTTATAATTGTTTGCATGTAATATTTTATAGGTCTATGGTTAAGGAACCAAGAGCTAAAGCGTCACAATTGACAATGTTTTATAATGGACAAGTAATTGTGTTGGATGATTTTCCGGCTGAGAAAGTGGAAGAGTTAAAGACATTTGCTCAGACACAGTCTTTGGTTACTCCGATTATTCCTCAACTGCCTTGTGGAACAATTGTTGTTGATATGCCAATTGCAAGAAAAGCTTCGCTTCTTAGATTCATGGAGAAGAGAAAAAACAGAGTTGCTGCGAAATCACCGTACTATAAAACGGTTAAAACCGTTTCTGATCCAGTGAAGTCTTCTGAGTCCATTCCATGGCTTGTGTTAGGAGCTAAATCAACGTGAATTTGAGAGTTTTTTAACAATTTTTTGATGGATTTTTCAGATCTAGTAACTTAGTTTTATTAGCTGAGAACTTTAATTCTGATTTTGAATATTTTCTGTAATTAGTCCTTTTTTTAATTGTGAATTCATTTTTCCTATTTCTCTTACGTTTTCTTCCTTCTACTATTTTAATATGCTTTAAAATATGAATTTGAATTTGATCTCTTAAGATTAGTTGATCTTCTTTTTTTTCTTCTTTTCATGTGCGTGTTTCTTTTTCTAATCTAAACCGTGTTGTCTTTTTAATTAGGCACGTTTAGAAGAGAATGTTGAAACTATACTGAAAACAAAGAAAAGAGAGTTGAAAAGATTTAAATATTGTTTATACTTACCGACATATCTGAAGGTGGAAGTTACGCTTTAGACACGCAATAAAATAAAATAAATAAATCACTTCATTTTTAACGTTTTACACAAGTAATTGTATAAATAATTTTCTAGCCAATACTTTAATTTTGTATAAGAAATACAGTAACTTTGAAACCACTTTTTTTTGGGCAGAAACACAGATAACATGAGAATTGTATATTCATTCATTTTTTTTATTTTATTTTTTGGATTTGTTAGTTGTTCCTATCATGGTATAACCAAATTATAATTGAGAGATGTACAAAAAAACATTAGTTAACCTAATGGTTAATGCCTCCAATGTAAATTTTAATTAACCTAATGGTATAATAAATTATAAGGAAAAAATATATATTTTATTTTATTTAAATATATTTTTTAAAAATGCATCTTGTCTAAAGTAAAATTAAATATAAATTGTATTTAATTTTATTTTTCTTTAATTTATTTCAAAATAACAATCAATTAAAAACTGTTTTTATATCTTTACCGTAAAACATATTTTAAAAAAACACAATTAGGTTTTTTTATTTAATGTGAAATATTAATTTTTTTTCTTATAAATTGTGACGGTATTTTGTTAAAAAATCTATAGAATAAAATATTTGAAATGAAAAGATAGCAGAGGAAGCTTCAAGTCTTATTATTAAGCTCAAAGCTTATGTATCTCTAAATATGTAATTACTACCAAAACCTTGTAACTAACATAACAAATTGTTGCTAACTAAAAGCTAAAAATAGGAGTATAAACTCTGCGCATTGAAACTATGACATTGCTTCTTTTGATCAACTCTATTCATCTTCTCTCAATCTCTAGCATGGGAGATGTCTAGCGTACCAAATTTGTTAAAGACAAAGGCTTTGTAAGTAAGTTTGCAAGTTGATCTTGAGGAGGAATTTACGGCGTTTTAACACTCCTTGTTGAAACTTTATTGCATTGTTGGATTTTGAATGAAATGACTTTATTGCTTGGTAATGCATTGTTGGATTCTGAATGAAATGATTTAGTTATTGAGTAACTAGGGTTATATATGGCTTTGTGTTATTTAAGTTTAGGACTCTTCCAATGAGCCTTTTACATGAAGTAATGTCTTCAAAAGGTTTAGTTTCATCTTGAAGCAACTTTGTTGAGGAATTTAAAAAGGTTACAACATATTTTAATTCTAATAGTATTGTGTCATTCGATAGATTCAAACAATATTTTATTTGTGAATTAACATGATCTTCTTTTGAATGTGTACACCTGAAGACCAAAAACGTATTCAAGATTCCTAAATCATTGATTTTAAATCGTTGTCTAAAATATATTTGATATTGTCACATTCAGACAGGAGGTCCCATCTAGTATAATGTCATCAATATATATATTAGTATGATAGTGATGTGATTGTCCCTTTTGAGAATAAAAAAAAATCTGAACTTGACTTAGTGTATCCTAGTTTTAGAAGTAAAGATGTGAGCTTCTCATACCAATTTCCACTAGTATGCTTTAAACCAAATAAGCTCTTGGCAAATTTACAAACTTGGTTTGGCTTGTCACATGTGATTCCTTAATGCATAATTATGTATACTTCCTGATCTCCACGTAAGAATCATTGTTCAAATTCGATTAGTGTAAATGCTAATTTTTATACACTTACTGACATATTTGAATATTGAAGTAACATATTAGACACTCAATAAAATAAAATAAAATATATCAGTTTGTTGACTTTAAATTTCGACGCTTTAATGGAATTAAAAGTAGGAAATAGAGTTCCTAGAGAAATTTTATTATTTCGACTAGAGCCATATTTTGAAATGGGAGTCGAAGACGTCCTTTCGCCAGGAGAATCTATGTTACAGACTTAGAGATATTCCTCAGCAGTTGGAAGATTCGATTCGACAGAGGTGTCACTAAGGGTATTTCGACGAGTTCATTTGAATTCAAATAAAAGAGGGAAAATTTGTTTTCATCTATTCCTTAAAGGAGACACCCGGAGCGCTTCTAGGATTCGAAGGCATGCATAGCGACACTTGTCTCGATTTCGTTTGCTAGCCGTTAATGACAATTATTTTTTATTATTATAAATAGCACGTTTTAGTCTTAAGATTTGTGTGTGTTCAATTGTGTACAAATTCTTCAGTATACTCCAAATACCCGTGTGTTGAGAGAAACGAGTTTGTAAGAATGTACGTTGATGTAACACCAGTTTTTCATTTCAATGCAATTTAATAAATCTCTTTCTTTAAGAATTTATTCTTCCTTTATGCAAGTACTTGTCTTCATCATTTATCAGTACTTCGATTTTACTTCTTGTCACCTAAATTCATTTACATTTGAGATAAGTTGCTTTATCATGAACTTTGTCGAAGTGTTCATAGTTTTTATAAACTTTATTTAAAGATCAATTAGCACATGTCCTAGGATTTGTGTGGTCAATCCTGCAAGTAAAAAAAATCTTCTTTCGATTTGTAAGACCAGCAGTTGTTCACCAATTTTCACGGCGAACAAATTGGCACGCCCAATGGGATAGTGTTAAGTGATCATAAAAATTCTTTTTGGAAAAAAATTATTAGTCCTTTGGTCAACTTTTTCTTCGAAAAAACTTTGTTGCATGTTATTAAGAAGTGGTAAGGTAGCCACCACTAAAGAAGATAGAACAAGAAGGAGATATAGAAGGAGAATGGCGACAAATTCAAACCAACCAAATATTCCTCAAGATATCTCGAATAACAATATAGAACAACTCATAGGATCTTCGACAGGAGGACCAACAATCTCAACGCCTGTCTGAAGCAATACCATCTATGGGAAGTTCGATACCCACACATTCGATTTCCCATATGTAACATATTCTGACTTATATTGGACCAAGGGGTCCTCCACAGACCCCACCGCCGATAGGGGCTTCAACATTCAGAGGCATCCCTCCCCCTGGGTTTTCAATGCCTTTGCCTCGGGACCCACCTTATGGAATGTCAACTTCGATGACGACAAACTTACAAAACACCTCTTTATTATATACAGAACCCGTAATGACTTCGCTATTATAGGGATCTGGCTCTGGGGTAAATATGTATCAAAATAGTCAAAATTTAGGAATAGGATATTCAGCCCAAATGCCAAGTTTGACAACCAGTTCTGCATCTTATTTGAGACAATTGATGGGCGAAAGTAACCATCAAATGGTTCACATGATGTCTCAAACTATGGGAGAAATTTTTCAGCCCCTTATTCAGAATTAGCAGCGCAAATGAGGCACCTTGTAGAATTCTTGGGTGTATCAAATCCCCCTCGACAACCACCGAGGGAGTATATGATAGAAAACCAAGGGGTAGTCTTCGACGAAGACAACACCATTAACCAGATTCCACAAAATATGGCTCAGGCAAATCAAAACAATCAAGGAATGATCAAACAACCTAGAGTCGAACCCCCTAGGAACCAACCACAAGTTCCTAAAGAAGAAGAACCAAAGGTAGTTTTGGTAAATAGAAACCAGGATGTTGAAAACGTTGTACAACAAGTTCGACGTAACAACCTAGCAACAAACAATAATTTGGCTGCCATGGTCGAAAGAATCATGGCACGTAACAGAGTAAATTTTGGCCTTCGACGACCAAATTATACATGAACGTTATTGGAGTACATCCTCCAATCAGATTTACCCCTAAGAACAAAGGTTCCTAAGTTTACTAAGTTTTCTAGGGATACTATTGAGTCTACTGTCGAACATGTGGCTAGGTATTTGATAGAAGCAGGAGACATTTTGAATGATGATAATCTTAGGGTCAAGTATTTTCCAAGTTCTCTTACAAAAAACGCTTTCACTTGGTTCGCAACCCTACCTCCAAGTTTGATTCATAATTGGGCTCAGTTAGAACGTTTATTCCATGACCAATTCTACATGGGACAAACAAAGATTAGTTTGAAGGAATTGGCTAGTATAAAACAAAAGTTTACTGAGCAAATTGATGATTATTTGAATAGGTTTCGCTTCTCAAAGCAAGGAGTTTCACACAAATACCAGAACATGAGTTAGTTGAAATGGCTGCTGGTGGCCTAGATTATTCCATCAGAAAGAAATTAGATACTTAATACCTGAGGGATATGGCCCAGTTGGCCGATAGGGTCGACAGTTAGAAAGTTTGAGAAGAGAAAAGGTTAGGGTAAATAAGAATAAAAGAATAGCCTATGTCAAATTCAATGAAGATGACGAATGGCCTTGGAGTGAGCCTATGAGTTTCGATGAGAATGAAGTAGATCTTACTGAATTGAAAAAGAGTTCACCCTATTCTTGCAAGGTTTTAGCACATTTGAATGAGAAGAACCCTACTGAATCAGATAAGAATGATAGGTTTTCCAAGAAAACTTATACATTCGATGTCACAAAGTGTGATGAAATCTTCGATTTGTTAGTTAAAGATGGGAAAATGATAGTACCTCCTGGTGCTAAAATTCCCCCTTTAGATCAAAGAAAGAAAAGAGGATTTTACAAATACCATAATTTTTGGGGCCATAAAACCTTTCAATGTTTTCTTTTCAGGGATCTTATTCAAAATGCTATCTTAGAGGGAAGGCTGAAATTTGGGGAGAAGCCCAAAAACCAGATGAAGGTTGACGCTGATCC